CTTCCTTTGACGAGACCGGCGGCACCAAGAACGACCCGGCGCTCAAGCCGGTCACCGAAGACGCGCCGGCTTTCAAGCGACTCGCTCCTTGCCGCGGACTATTCGGCGCTCGGAGACTTTTTCGCACGCGTGGACATTGTCTTCAACCTCGAGGCGTCCTCTACCACCGGGACCATCGCGTTTGCTCGCGGTTTCGAGTGGCCGCACGGATTCAAGCACGTGCGCAAACGGGCCAGGCAGGGCGGACTGATCTTGGCTGTCTCTGAAAGCTGGTACCCGTCTTCGACCGAGGACTTCGGGTGCCTGCTGGAGGACGACATCGAGGTGTCCCCGCACTACTTCCGCTTCGTGTCGGAGATGATGCTGGCGCTCCAAAGGGAGCCAGACCCGCGCGTGGTAGGCATAAGCCTATACTCGCCTCGTCGCACCGAGACGACCAACCCGCCCGAGCCGTTCAACTCGACGGCCCTCATGATTGAGGTCATGGGAGCAGAGCACAAAGAGAGCCCATATTTGTTGCAGACGCCGTGCTCATGGGGGGCCGTTTACTTCCCTAACCACTGGGAGCAGTTCGTCGATTATTTGCGGCTGCGCTTTGATCTCAAGCCCGGCGTCAAGTCGCCCCACGACGTGTTGATTCCTTCAAGCCGCACCAACGGCTGGAAGGGCAGCTGGAAGAAGTTCCACTTCGAGCTGCTTTACCTCAGGGGGCAATACCTGGTCTATCCAAACTACGAGGGCCAGCGCAGCCTCAGCACCAATCACATGGAGAAGGGAGAGCACATCAAGTCTGGCGATGTCGACCATAAGCGGCAGGACTTCACCGTGCCGCTCCTGGTCGACGGCGCGCCGCTCCTACATCTGAGGTCGCTGAAGGTTAGCCAGCTACGCGTGCTGAACCTTTTTGGGAAGCCCTGGTTGCGCGAAGAAGAGCTGAAGCAGATGCTCGCCGGCATGGCTAGCGGTGCTTCCTCCGTTGTGCCTGGTGTTCGGCAGCGGCAGCCGTCGCTGTTGGCGGTCGGCGAAGAGCTCAGCAGTGTCAAGGACGAGATCATGATGTCTGCTGCGAGCGGCCGACTAAGGCACTACGGTGTGGTCCAGAACGATGGCCAGTTCGTCATCTACCGCGACGACGCTGCGTCCCCCAATTCGGCCGCACCGATTTGGAGCACACAGACGTTCGTGGGCGAGGTGAACGGGACGACGTATGGCTTGACGCTGTCACCAACCGGGTCGCTGGAGCTGTCTCGAAGGTTCCACAATGACGTCAAGTCAGACAAGCTTGTGTGGTCCAGCCCTCACGATCGCACTCGCCGGCATCCTAGGGGCAGCTACGTCGCCCAGCTCAAGAGCGACGGCTGCCTCGCCGTGTACTGGAAGAGTCCGAAGAACGGAAAGTGCTTGTCCCTCGTTTGGGAAACGGCAACGAAGGGCAGCCGATACGTGTCGCGCCACCATCAAGGCACGTGCCTCTCGCTCGTGTGGCAGTCGATCCCGAACAAGGTGCATACGAAAGGGTGTATAAGGAAGAACTGCGACCTCAGTCTATCTCGCGAGCACTTCGCGTGCACCTCGTTTCCAGCCGCGGTGCCGGCGCTCTTGCAGGACGCATCAACCTTTACGCTCTTGATCAGCACGCACAGCCGGTTCGAGCTACTCTCCGAGCAGCTGTCGTACTACAGCGCGTCGCCGATGATCTCGACCATAGTCGTCACGTGGCACAACATGAACATTAAGGCACCGCCCGACGCCCGCGTCAATGGGACGTATATTCGGTTCGAAAGCCCAACCACGGACAGCCTCAACAACCGCTTTCAGCCCTTAGCGTACATTACGACCGAGGCCGTCTTCATCCTGGACGACATCAAGCTGCACCTGCAGGACATGCACAACATGTTCGCTGCCTGGAAGGAGAACAAGCAGAACCTCGTCGGGGCGTCGCCTCGCTGGGTCGATGGTGGTTCATCGGAGCCCGGGTCTGGCGGGCGTGCTTCCGCGCCGCACAACTTGGCCTACTTAACCCAAAGCGAGGCCTCACCGGACAAGTACGAAGGGTACAGCCTGATGCTGACGAGGACGATGATGATGCATCGTGACTATCTTCACCTCTACACGTGCGGCGGCAGCTCGACAGAGCTCGGCCTGCAAGTAGCGAGCCACTTCGACCAGCTTCGATCGCTCATCTTGTCGATCGTCGCGGCCGAATTCAATTGCGAGGACATCGGCATGAACTTCGTCGTGAACGCGGCGAGGTCCAGCGCCAACCCGCCAGGCGCCGACGCTGCGCCCCTTTTCGTACGGCCGCTGCACAGAATTGGCGACTTCGGAAAGATGGGCGACACGGGTCTGCACCAGAAGAAGTCGCATACAACGGCGCGGACGGACTGCTTGAACCAGATGAACCGAGCCTTTTGGCAGGCGACTGGCCAAAGCTTGCCTGTTCAGACGAGGGTCATTGATGCAATGCCGTCTAGCCTCAACTCGACGTCGACGGCGCTCATGCAGAGGCGGTATTCAGGGCTGAGCGTCCGCCTTCACGACGACTGCATGACGATCGAGCGCGGGGTCGACGGGGTCCACAAACAAGGGGGGTGCTCCTGGGATCTGCCGGCCCAGACGAAGTACAACGCGTATTACGTTCCTTCCGTGCACTGACGGGCGTATGATCTCGAGCGGGGCTGTTGGTGGTGCTCAACAGCACAGAGCTCTTTGGGACCGCGGCTGCATAGCATGCGGGTAGGCTCGGCTTCCTGAGTGAGCGCGGGGCGATGTGCAGGTAAGGTAAGGTAAGGTAAACTTCTCCACACACACACGAGGTGGTGGGGCAGGGGGGGCGACCCTCGCGCACTCTTGTAGCATGCAGGTTGCAGTCTGCATGGATTAGCCTCTGCATAGACGGGCTGATTTTACATTACGTATTTCTGGAAAGGGGGATTTAAAATGCAGA